TCTAATGATAATTCCTTTATGTGTGACTTAACACTTTCCTTTTGCTTCTTTCAGAATTCTCTTCATTTTGTGCTTGTAACATTTTGACTATAATGTGCTTTGGAAAGAATCTTTTTTTTTTGGTACTGGGGATCAAACTCGGGACCTTGAGCTTGCGAGGCAGGCGGAGGAACCACTGAGCTAAATCCCCAGCCCCCACATATGCTCTCTTTTCTCCCTTTCTCTTTTTATTTTTCTTCCTTCTTCATCAAAACAATATTTGGTAGCAATACCTTTGCAGTCTCATCAAACATTCTGATACACACACACAAAGAAACACATACATATATTTGAATGTACTCATATTTATACATGATCTTTACCATTTCTTCATTTATCTTTTATTTGGTTGAAATTATTTAGAACTTTAGTAATATGCAAACATTTGTAGATACTAGGTTAGGACAAGAAAAGTTTCCCCAGTCTCCCTCTTTATTTCTAACTGAATAGGGATACTCATTTCATGGGGCTTCCCTTAAGTAAAACCATTCAAATCACAAGACTATTTATAATATTATTTATATTTCCTAATTAGAGTTTCCATTTTTCATTACCTTTTGCTTTTTCCTTACTACCCAGGATCCTCTGTTACTGACATGTTTTAAGATATAGGCTAAGCTTTTAACTGACAGCAATAATGGGGTGAATATATGTTTTTGATCAATTCAAAAGACAGCCTAGTATTAAATATGTAGTTACTTTCTTTCCACCTGTGTAGATTCCATTATTGACTTTACTAGAAGGTCAACTTACCCTTCAAAGATGATAGGTTGTCAGTATAAAAACAAAGATTAAGATGCTTCACTGAATCCAGAAACTAGTACAATAGGTTAATCAAAAATTTCTTCTACCAACTACTGATTAAAGATGGTTAGGAGAGAGAAATGAATCCACTTGTTCATCTTCTTTTTGCACGTAGTTTAGTAAAGGTCATTGAGACTAAAAAAAAGAAAAAACAGATTAAGAAATTTGTGTTAGTTTTTCTCTGCCCCCAAACTTGTGGCAGAAAATGAAATTTAAATAATACTTTAAGTTTTCTTCACATGACTTTTTTCAAGTTATATTTCACAGACAAATAAATTAATATGTTCAAAGAAAAAAAAATATTATCACTTTAAATTAGCCTTGTTAAAAAAAAGCACAGATTGCACCACCCTAAGCCTTACCTTAGGCTCTGGGCACCATGGATTGCACGCCCCACATGTCACTGATACTTGTGTGCTGGAGGGTCTTGTACCAACCATTGCTGCGTCAGAGCATAATGGCATGATATGAAGTGATGCAGAAAACAGGAAGAGCTTTGTCACTCAGTCAGCTGCAAGAAGCAACGTGTATGAATGTACAGTATAGGGAGTCTATGAAAGATCCAGTCTCTCTCCCCGAGAAGACTCTGTTCCATGATACAAGGAGAATTCAGTTCTTTTTGGCAGACTTCCATGCCATTTTGGAAGCAGTAAAAACAACCTCAAAACAAGCCTGATTTCTTAATGTCTTTAGTCTTTGTGTTTTAACTAACTTTTTTTCCTTATTTTTATTTCACTTTGTTTTTAAGAAGGATAAAGTGATACCTGTTTCCACTAGATTGTTTAAATATAATTTCCATAGCCAGGGTATGGGTGAGAGTGAAAGGTTTGCATCTTTGTGACAGGCTTGTATCTGTTCTTGGCAAAATTTGGAGCAGAGACTATGTATTTTTTAGTTGAGGAGTGGATGACTTTAAATGATATTGTACCAAAAGGGCACCGAATCCCAGCAGATGATTTAATTATATTTAAAAATGAATATTATTAAATAATTCAAACTTTTAATATGGAGAAATTAGGTCATTTTCCCACCCCTCCCACAAATATTCAGTCTTAATCTATAAGTAATGAAACAACATAGACAGTGTTATCCATGCTGGTACTAACAGAGAATGCCAGTTATGACAGGCTCATTGTTTACTTTAACAGGTAATTTGTGGACCGGAATCATTTAATTGTTCTGAGTACATAATTACATGTCAGCAATTTCCAATTTAATTAAAATGTACAAATCTGAAGATTAAGGGAATTTTTGAATTATTAATCATTTTTCCACTAGGAAATCTTGTTGCTCTGCAGGAGATTTGTCCAGTGTACAACTATACGTATTTTTTTCCTTCTCTTTCACAGACAGACAATTTTCCCGCAGAGCCCAATTACATGGGCAGCAGGCAGCAGTTTGTTCAAAGGTAAGGCCTATTAAATAACTTTCTCAGCTTCTCCATTTGCATTCGTGTCAAAATTGCTTTGCAAGAGACTACACTTCAGATTGAAACTAGTAGAGACAACACTTTTTCTTCTTCTTCTTCTTTTTTTTTTTATGTGTATTTCAGTAGCTCCACGTTTAAGGACCCAGAAAGAGCCAGCCTGAGAGACAGTGGGCACGGGGACAGTGATCAGGCTGACAGTGACCAAGACACTAACAAAGGCTCCTGCTGTGACATGTCTGTTAGGGAGGCACTCAAGATGAAAACTACTTCAGCTAAAAGCCAGCCACTTGAACAAGGTGAGTGAAGTCTTCCAATGCTTACAAAGTGTAAAGCTTAAGCAATCATTATAAGCCTATTAGTACTAGACTTGCAATTTATCACGGTGGAATAGACCATTGATAATGTATCAAAGAAACAGCAAATCCCACAATTACCCCAGACAAAAAGCAGCTATCCAATATTATAGTCAAAACTGACAAAGGAAGGCCATGAATATCAGACTTTAATTTTCTTAAAATGAGAAATTAGCCAAAAACTAGACTGTTCTTATTTCATGGGTATTTCCTAGCCCCTCTTATTTTAGGTTTTATTAACAGGGAAAATATGACATATAATAGAAATATAGATACATTATAATGTACTAAATTATAATATTAAAAACAATTTTAGATGAAATGAAAATTTGATTGGAATTTTATCTCCTATCAGTATTGGTTTATTTTTAATTTTCATTTTAGCTCAAAATAACTTTTCAGGAGTCAAATAATGGCTGAGACAAGAGTTTTATCTCCATTTGACTTATCTACAAATCTTCATAGATATTAATAAATATCATCATTGTAAACATTGCTTACAATGATAGATACAATAAAGATATTTGACTTAATAAATGTGTATATTTTAAAGTCTATCTCCAGTTTATTTAATACAGCTTTTTATTAAATTTCTTAGTAATTTTAATGTCTTGATTGTTTCAGGTACAATGAAATATTTGCTAATGTATCATTCAAAGAGAATTAAGATACTAATACATCAGTCTTCAAACCGTGAATAGGATAATTTATGTTCTATTGTAAAAAGGAAAAGAACAACTGTATAAATCAGATTTTAAAATTACAAATCATTAGATTAGCTGATAAAATATTAGTTCTCAAAATCTTAATAGTTTTTAAATATATTTAATATTTACTATTTCAGTAATGTTAAATGATAAACTACACTTAAATCATGTGAATATAAGATTCTAAGTAATTTATTGACTGATGATTCATAATAAACTTTTGAATCAATCTGTCCTCTCATATATACATTGACCATAATGTTAATTTTTCTAATCATGTTAAAATTTTAATATAGACATACATTCACCCACATAGTTATTTACATATACTTATTTGTGTATATTCACAACAGTATACAAATATATATATATATTAACAGTTGTGTACTGAACATAATTTTGCTGGATTTAAGATTGAGCTTGCAAAAAGCCTTGTTTTCAAAGTAATAAGTGCCATACTGCTAACTTTTGTCCTTCTATTTTATGACAACTTTCTCTATAACAATTTTAAAGATTATTTTTAACAGAGGCAATTTGAACATTTATCTGATATTCAATGTCCAGGTAAATGTGGGTGTTTATTTGAAGTTATTTACATTGTCATGATCGGTTGTGGCTCTGTGATATTATTATACATAATATTTATATAGATAGAAATCACTTAGGTACATTTTACATCACAGGTGCTTGGATCCTGATATGTGAATATACATCATGAGACAGACCTATCTACGTGTATGATACATAAAGGGATTGATAGATATTTCATTAGCTACTACTCATAAAGCTAAACATAGTAAATGGTTTGGATGCACTGTCCTATTATTACAAGGAATATAAAAATTCTAAAACTGAAAAGCAAAATACTTATTGTTCACATGAAATCTGATCCTTTTTACCAATTAACTATACAAAGTATGTGATGGGGGTCTATTTAATGTATTTTCCCCTATAGAGAAAAAAAAATCTCATATATGTATTATGTTTGAAAATATGAGTTATACTAAAAAGCTGTCTGTTCAATTTTGATATCAAAAATAATGTCTTAATAAGGTATCTATCATGTTAGAAGCCCAAAGTTGCCTATATTTGAATTACTATTACATATGACATAATGAATAATCTAAGAATGAGAACACCAAGAGAAATACCTGCTGTGAAGCAAATTGTTTCCACACATCCATATTTATAAATATAGGAAATTATTATGAATCTTGAAACTAGACTGACATGATTTAATAATTATGTAGGAAAAAAACCTGGCTTTCATTTTAAAACATAATTTTTAAAGTTAGTAATAGTATTCTTTTGATTGATCCATTTATATCTATTAAGTGCTTTGAACATGTAAGAATAACTTAAGAATGGTTTAGGAATGTGAAAAATAAATTTCACTTGAATCTTGCCTTCAAGTAATTAAATGTAACTGCTAGGGATTAAACATCACTGTTGTTTTTCTCTGAGAGTCTCTCTCTGATCTTTCATCTGTCTCTAGTATCTTTTTCTCTCTGTAACTCTCATCTAAATCTTCATCCATTTCCATCACTTATAATCTATCTTATCTGTCAGGCTTTATCTATGGATGTGTTTATGTTTTTCTACATACCTATATAATTCAGAGAAGAGTAGAACTTACAGAGTTCTTTCTACTCATCATAAATAGTACAAACTTCATTTCAACATTAGCTTACTTAATGTACAATATCAAAAATATTATTTTTGTATTACTATAAGAAAGTGGAGGTCTGGGGATTTAGCTCAGTGGTTCCGCTGCCTGCCACGCAAGCTCAAAGACCTGAGTTCGATCCCCGGTACCGGAAAAATAAAAATAAAAAAGAAAGGAAGGAAGGAAGGAAGGAAGGAAGAAAGAAAGAAAGTGGAGCTTATTAGAAATGTATTACCCTGCACAAAAGGTTGAAGTTTAAACCTAGGTTTTCATATGGGAAAAACGTCTTTCGGTTCTATACATTTTTCAAATGGGAGAATTTGCTTACATAGCCAATTTAATTTATCTTTGTAACAAGATATCACAAAAACAACAGAGTAAGTAAAAAATCTGAGTTCAAATGTAAAAACCAAGGAGGAGAGTATCAGAAGAGCTCATATTAGGGCCGGGGATTTAGCTCAGTGGTCCTGCCTTGCAAGCTAAAGGTCCCGAGTTCTATCTCCGGTACCAAAGGAAAAAAGAGCTCATATTCATTGACTGAAAGACTGCCTGCTCAGTCTTCTTTGCTCAGTACTTAAAACATATTATCCCTTTACTTTTCGTAGCACGTACAGAGAGGTAAGTACTGTTACTCTCACATTTAATGTAAATACTTTAAAAATGTTCTGCTGTTACAAATACTGAAGGCAGCATTAGAAATAAACAAATGACCAAAAAAAAATGAATTCTTTCAGAGCTTGCCCTTATAACCAGTATTTTACACTTTCCTTATAATGAGAAAGGTTTTCAGAAATAAATACAAAATTTTGCAGAAGCATGCAGTATTGTCTTGGCCAGTATATTCTGCTAAGTTATTTGAAAAACATCCCAACAGGTAATGCCACACTTACTTTAATACACACACTTGAAAAACAATTTTATTTAGAAATGTAATATGATAGCCATATACAAATAATTATCTAATGTAATGTGAAATATTACATCATATTTTTTAATACTTTCAAAAATTTCTTTCAAAAGAGTAAATATCCTCTAAGAGGAAGAAATTATGAGCTAAAGTAAAACAAAATCTGTTTATCACTTTCTCTTACTAAAATTTGTAGCAATACCTTATACAATTGAAGTAAAAAATCAGTAGCACGGTATCTTTTACATTTTTGTATTAGTTTTTTTGATTTTTTGCCTATTTAAATGATCTCACTTTAGAAAAATGTTTATTTGTAAATTGAAAATTTTAAATTTAGAAATGAAAATCACTTAATAATTATAGTTTTTAATGGTACATTCTTTGCTAGCAATGTTTTTTCTTTGGAAATGACCTAAACCTTTTGAGATTTTATTTCATCAAATAAAATGTTACTTTTTCTCCTTTTGGTAGAGTTAACTTTTTTAGCACTTGTTCTATTCTTGATATTTGTATATTTTTGCTACCATCAGCTTAATAATTCCAAGTACATGGCACTAGTTTGCATTCCCCTTTATTTTAGTAAAAATATTTGAAAGGATTCAGCAGCTAATTGAAGGTGTGATGTCCTAGAACTGAAGATAGCTTTAGGATCTTATTTTAATAAACCCTCTAGAAGAAAGAGGTTATTTTAGTTTCTTTTAATGTAATGAAAAAAAATCTCGGAAAGTGAACATAGTTTCTTTCTGTTTCATTTTATTTTTGTGTTGTTTCTGTATTAAATAATTAATTTTTCCTATGCTTCCTTCTCCTTATCAAATATTATAGGTAGGTAGTCAGATGGGTGAATAGATGGATAGATGGATGGATGGATAGATAAAATAATCCAAAGGTTTTAAAAGTTAAATAATACATTATTTATTCAGAAAAGTAAATATATATTTATGCCTAGCAAACTTTTTTTATTAGAATGACATAGATAATTATTCAAAATACATTTGATCTTATTTTGCTGATTTGCATTTTACAATCAGAAAAACTGGCTTTCATTAAAACATTAAAAAACATTGTGTTATGTTTCCAAATAAGAGCCACATATGGTTTTATAAAGAATAAAATGCTTTCAGAATGTTTCAAGCTAACTTACTTTTTATCCTTCAGAATATTATTCACCCTTTGACTTCTTTAAGAAACTATTTTACCTTTGAATTTCTAACCATTAGAAACACTACAAATGAATCTGAATGTGAGCAAAACTTTTCATCCCAAAAGATTTAATAAACATTTCCTAAAATTCAGTAGTCTCCATTGATTCCTAAATAATAAATGTCTTTATAAATGCTTATCAAGGATTTTCTTTGGGTTATTTCTTAATGATTAAGTGAAAGTTCTCAGTTTTCCAATAATCAGTCTTTTAATGTCTACATAATTGACTGAAACTAAATCCTTAATTCAAAAGAATGTGCATAGTACTCTTGTTGATAACCTGTCTAGGAGTTTGGCAGTGGGAACATCATCAACTCAAAAGCCTCCATTTAGTTGCTGGCTATCAGTCCCTTTGCCTGTGATTGGAACTCACAACTTTTCTCTCCCTAGAATTTGACACATTCATTTTTCCACATTTCCTATTTTATTTAATTACCTTTACATTTCTATTTTTCTGTTC